GGGAGGAGGGGTATAGTAAGATATCACGTGTATTTATAAACTGCTGTTTTAAAAAAAAATCAAAAATTTTCAAAAAAAAAAAATAAAAAAAATTGCAGTTTTATCTAGCAACTAAATATACACGTGATTTTTGGTGTAGGAGGGGGGGGGGTAATTTTGAATATCACCATGTATCACCAGGGGAGTGGGGTGTTTCAAAAATCCTTAAAAACTAACTCACGTGATTAATAGACGCCCGCTAATATGAAGAACGCTTATTCTTTTAATCTGCCGCAAATTCGGTTTGAAACTTTTGATGTCAAAAGTACACATAAATATGATACAAGTGATACTTGTGTCATGTAATTTTATTTATGTGTAAATTTATGGGCCAATTCTGTCGTAAAATAGACTAAATTTATGGCAAGACAATGTTACGCTGCCTTTTTCATATAAAATAGTATTAAAATTGTCAAAATACTATGTATTTGCTGTGCGATCAGGAGTTTTACACATAAAATATAACTTCACTCATACGTTATTATTTCACATAACAAAGATGCACATAGAATATAAATTTTATTTTGACGTTTCTGCAGTGACTAGGTCAAGTTTTTTATATAAAACATCTGTCTGCACAGCAACCACATAGTATTTTGACAGTTTTTAGTACTATTTTATATGAAAAAGACAGCGTAACATAGCCTTGCCATAACATTGGTCTATTTCACGGCAAAATTGACCAACTAATTTTTACATAAGAGCTTAATTATTATTTAGTTCATTATATTTTGTGTTTTACCTGCAATATTTTGATCGTTTATTTTCAATTAAAATTGAAATTAAAATTATTACTTAAAGAGCATATTCATTTAATACTGGTGAGGATCACTTTGATTAATTTGATATTGAGTGGACTGTAAATTATAAATATTTCATCACCATAAGAAGATGTGAATAAAACCACTATTTAATTTATGACATATATTGAACTACGCTCTACAACCTTCTTCTCTTATTACATTTGCTAGACTCCCTTATTATTATATGTTACAGGTATTTATACTCATATAATTGTATCCCCTACCCCGAAGGGTCCCAGGTTAAATAAAAGCCCTGGTCAAATCTTGACCAAATACATTGTTCTGATTAGTCTACTACTTTGTATTTAGGATATTATTTATGTTATTTATTTATCATTAATAATAGTCTACTATAAATATTTAGGATATATGTTATTATTTTTTTTCAACTTCTGCTACCAATATATTTTAATATGCTACCATTTATAGTCGCATGTGCTACATATATTATTTTGCTGATTTAAGATTTTGCTATATTTCGATGTTTTATAAGATAATATTCTTACGATTTTTACATATTTATTGATTCGGTCTTGTGATATTTCAATTTACTAGATATTTCAATTATCCAATATTGTATTGTGGGCTGTGAAATTTGGATATTTGTACATTCTGTTTTAAAGCGTTTCTCGCAATTTAATAGTTTAGTTACTAAAGTTTAGTGCTATAGATTTTTTTTATACTTGTTTATTCGACATGACCATGTATGTTATGATACGACTATGATGATTTTATGTATAATTATATTGACTTTTGTCTCTTGACTGCTTGATAACTTCAATTCTCGAGATCTAAATATTTCTTCATTTGGAAATTGCTACAATTGGCTTTCGGCATATGGACATTCAAATATTTAATCATTTGATATTTCAATTATGCTATCTGGAGTTTACCACTTTCTCACCTTTTTAACAGTTTTGCTATCTAAATGGCTACTTCTAATAAAATGTAGTGTTAATTATTTCAAAGTGACAACTTATGAGGATCTATACAAATTCAATTATGTGGAGAAAGTTGTCGAGCACTTTCGCATTTGTGACGCTTGTAAACAATGATTGATGGAATAGTAAGAAAATGATAAATCACCTTCGGTATTTCGCTATGAAAAGACATTTTCATTTACACTATATAATTATTTAACACATCAATCCTTTTAACGGCATAATCGGTCACCATTGACAAAAATAATTAGAAAAATATTAATGAAAAAAAGTATTAAATAAAAAAAAAAATTTAAAACCGAAAGTCTCAACTTTTTAAAATTAAATATCAAAAAATAAGTTAAAAATCTGTTTTTTTATAAATTTTGGAATAATTTATAATGAGAAAATAAAATTTAATTCATGAAAATGGAAAAAGTTAATATTTTGCATAATCTCATTAACAAGTGAATATATAAAAAATAGACGGCATTTACAGTGTATCTTCAAATCATTTTTTTGGTTACTCACGGACCACATATTTCGTTTTTTTTTTTGTTATTTTGCAATGAACTTCTATCCAACCGCAAAACTAGTCAACAATTTGAACTAACCACAATGTACATACAATCTCAAAAATTATGTACATCGCATTCATTATGAATAATTTTTGGAAAATTTATGCGAGTACGAAAGGATCAGTTTTAGATTCGGTATAAGATTAGTGAGCAGATTGATACTAATTGTAGGAACTATTGATATTTTCAAGTGCATATATCCTAAATAAATGAATTCTTAATGTCTCTTTCTGTCTTTGGGTCAAATATATAAATATTAAATAAAAATATTCAAGTGTAATACAAGCTGAAGCTTTTGGATCTATATTCTATTTGTTTACGTTTTAATGTAATGTTTCGACGTGAACACCTGCGAATCGACACTGTAAAGAAATAAGCTCTTAAAAGCTTCACGCGCTTTCTAGATCAATAACATTACCCACTTTGCATATACTTTTGCATAATATACTATTTCCTTTGTTGTTGAAACATTTTATAGCATTGCTTGCGTTGATTCAAACACCAATACATTTCGGTTGAATTGATTTACTGTAACATCTAACTCCTATGTATATCTCTCACCTTTACATTCCATCTTTACATTGGAAAGATCAGTATGTGTTGTAAACCTGAACCTATACACGAAATCCACCTATAAGATGAGTCTGTGTTGTCTCCTCAGAGATACTGTCGGTTATCAAAATCATACGTGTATCGTGTATCTCATGTGGCCGAGTTGTCTCAGTCTGCGCGGTCGCATTCAGTGTATGATAAAAACGGCGGAGCCAAGTATCAGGGCACAACGCACGTTCTGGTCCCGAATGCGGGAAGACATTTCATTGATACTGACAAGTGTGAAAAAATGATTAAAGTAGGAATTGAATTAGGTTAAGGAAGGTTTTCTGACCGTGCTCGGAAAAACCAAAGTCCATTATTGTATGTTTTGTAACATATCGTGATTTGATCTTATCTCATGTACTTATTTCATGTACATCATACTTATTTCATGGTTTTTCGATAGAGCTTTTTCATAAAACCATAGTCTATTATATAATGTTTTGTAACATATCGCGATTTGATGAGAGCTCTTATTTCATGTACTTAAAACATCCTATGCTGCAACATGAATTTTATTCATTACTGTTTTATAACTTTTCTTTTTTATAAAAGTGGTCATAGTAATTGCCTTGGATGCATTGAAGGTAATTCTTATTCAAAAAAAAGTAAATAATTATGGGTTTTATCGTGAGATGACGATCTTTAAATCTAATACGTTGACATTTTATACAGAAATGAAACTGAAATAACATTTTTATACAGTGAGGTGCAACAATTTATAGGCCGCTATGACTTGAAAATCACGTAATTCACTGATAACAAAAAAAATGTTTAAAAATATTTTTTTATTTTCCATTTTCCATTGCACATATTTGCCATTTTCCATTTGCACATATAGGCTTATAATCACTGATTTTTTATTATCCTATTTTTTATATAAAACAAAAATTTGGCCGTAAGAGGGTAAATTTATTGAAAGCTTTGCTGAATTTTTGCTTAAAAGTAATCATAGTAATTATTCTGGTATCACTAAAGTATCTGTATTTTAATATAAAATTATTAAATTATGCTATACCCGAAAGTTTCTGTCGTATAAAATTTACGACAGGATGACGAGAAGAACGATGTTTCAACTTAAATTAAATAAAAAAAAAATTAAAATTAAATAATGAAACAACAGCTGTTTATTTCTTAGTTTTATTATATGTAGTCTCAGAAACATTTTTAAAATATAGAATTCAAACAATAGGATACTGATGATAGACAGTATAGTATTGTAAAAAAACAATTAATTCGCTTGTGTCACTTTTCATTAATATCATATTTCAAAACTCTCCAAATTCGTTAATGACAAATCACTTTCTGAAACAATGCGGTATTTCATTTTTTCCCCAGTCTTAATTTTGCTTTCTAATTTAATTCTGTATTAAGTTCTCTTACCAAATTTTTTATATATTCATTACTTTAATACATATTTTTTAAAAAATCCGCTTTGGTAAAGGAAATTCTAGATAGATTCTTAATGCTAAAACTTAGCCAAGATCAGTGTACCAAATTTTTACATACTCTTTTATATATTATACTTAACATTTAACATATTATTAGTGTACAACAAGCTAGAAATTAAGTCAGTCTAATCACTAGTCACTAATCACTAGTTATGCAGATGTAGAAATCAATTAATATCCAAATATCAATAAATCAATTATTTGAAATAGTAGAGTAATAATTGTACGTTAATACTTGTAACTACTAACTGTATGTAACTAAATACGTTTCTCTGTTAATATAATTTAGGGATTAAATTACCTGACAATTCATTTCTCAAGACTTATTTATTTTCGTGAAATCAATGGCAATTCAAGATAGAAACTCATTGTCTAAAATAAGACCATATTAAATTTTTACAAACGTAACTATATATTAAATATTTAATATAAGTTGGTGAATATTAAGTGGTGGTCTTAATAATCACGCAAATTATGCACAAATAAATTAAGATCTAACAATCTGGTAACAAAACAATATGGTAATAATAAGTTCACGTTAATATTTCTTATTTTCTTCATCAATATATTTTAGCTATTATTAAAACCATATGATAATTCTCACATCATAAGTAATCAAATATATCTAATATACAAAAATACATAAAAAATATCTAATTCTCACTTTATCTGGATTGTTAATTGCGCGTTTCACGCTTATTTTCTTGAAATGTACGTGGTCTCCTTGTATATTAGGGGCGCTGCACGTGGCCTGCTACGGCGGCACGCTTCTCTCGTTGGATCGTTACTTCGCGGGAAATGCGAAATCATTTTGTTTTCTTAGCTTGTTTTATCTAATGTTTTCAAGCAATTTTGTTTCTAGATGGAAATAAGCTCTTACAACAATAATTGAACTGATTGTAATTGAGGTAGCAATATTTATTTCAAGTAAATGTGCAAAATTTAGTTAAACGTAGTTCATACGTAGTTATATTTAGTGGGCTATACTTGATATATTGCTCGATTTGGGAGAAATGTATACATAATTGGTTATTTACAAGTAATACAGTAGAACTTTGATTAACCGGACTAATTGTTGTCGATAGGCATCCGGATGACCGAAAATCCGGATAATCCAATGTATGAAGAATAATGATATGTGTTTATCAAAAATAACAAATATATACATAGATATCAACGAAAATCAATATTTAAAGAAATTAATATTTCCTTATGCATGTGCATATATATTTTCATAATTATATTACATACATATACTAAACTGCAGCATAAATCGTGCAAAAATTCGAATTGTAGGTATGTACATACATATAACTCTGCCGCAGTTGGAAGTCCGGATAATCGCAAATCCGTATAACTGAGGTCCGGATATCGAGGTTCTACTTAATTTCAAATCCTAATCGATCATAAATGATTACGATACTTTTTATGATATATTATATATAGGTAAACCAATTTCTATGCTTAGCATAATTATATTGTTTGAGAAGAATTTCGTATTGTACCCAACGAACTTATTTATTTTGGATAAAACTCTAAACCAAAATTAAGTTGTGAAAATAAGAAAAACTCCAAGACTCGAGTCTCGGATATTTATAATAAAACATTTTTTTTGTTATGATTTATTTTTGTTAATCAAGACTTTAATGTCTTATTTACAAAATTGATATGTGCAAAAAAATAATACAAAAATTGAATATAAAATGAAAAAAGTTAAAATAAAAATAAAATAAAAACAGTAATACAAAAATAATAACATGAATGAACTATGACGTGATGATGTATGCCGCGTACTAAGTATAATAAAATATAAATAACAAAACATGAATTATTCAATATTACAAATCCAATTTAAATTCTAATATACTATATTTGACAATGCAAATAAAAATTGAGTTTTATTAAGCCAAACAATGACTTCATCAATGATGATAAAATGCTGCACATGTGTTGCACAATTTAAAAATTCTTTATTTCTTTTCCATTTAAAATTCAAAACTGCATATCTTCTTCTAAAAAAGCGCTGATAATGCTATTGAAGCAATTTATAATGAGACGCTCAAAATTAGTTACTTAATTATAAATACAACATATTTATTTGAAATAAATAAATATTAGTATAATAAATATGATTATTAAATAAAATTAGTGGAACACCAATTTCTTATAAAAGGTTCATCTATTTTAGAATAAGTAATTATAATTGTATAATGCTGTATTTCTCTTGAATGCTTCATCCTGAACCAAACGAAGGATGGTTTATTATCATCAGTAAAATTGCGATATTTCTAAACCATATATGTCGTTTATCGTTATATGTGTTTTAAAAGTAGTATTCATAATTTTATTAATTACTATTCATTAACATACTATGAAAACGTGTGAAATATATTTAATATTTTTTTGGCTGATGTGAAAGATTTAAAAAAAAGAACTATTATATAGCTTTGAACAACAAAATTGAAATATTGGAGTTGAGATACACATTTTTTTGACATGACAAATGGTGTGCGAAAAAAAGTTCTTGTATATTGGAAAGAGAAAAGTTAAAATATTATTCTGAAAATGATGAGAAAAAATATAGTTCTCTGAAATGATATTTGTCTATGTGATGGGTGCAAAAAACATAACTTGAAGTAAATGAAAACAAAAATCTATGTGAAAGTTCTATTTTATGTTCTAGTATAAAAATGACTCACCAGCAGATAATTCTATTTATATTCTATTTATAATAGTTCATCCTATGTCCCTATAAATTTTGCAGGTGACAACTTGCATTATACTACTTACGTTAGCCGACAGACGTCGTGAAGAGAGTATATTTTTCATACTTTTATATTCCTGACAGAAGTAATGAATATATAATTTGAAAACTTTAGACATTTATCTGCAGTGTAGTTGCTCCGTTGCCCCAACGAAGCTTAATCTAGGTCAAAGCTCCGACGAGTTCAATGTAGGATGCATAGTGCTGTTGCACTCAATATTTCAACATTATATAGGGCATCTGCATACATAAAATATATTACGCAATAGACTCTCATAGCCAAAATATAACAAAACCTGGAATTAAATTTACGACCTTTATTTCTAGCTTGCGTTCCATTCATTAAGAAATTTCTCTGACCGAAAGCTAATGTAAGAGACCTCGACCAAATTAGAAATAAAGATACAACTGAAATTATAATACTTGATATGTGAGGGAATTGCATTAGAATGAATGCACTGAATAAAAGTATCTAAAATAACAATAATATAAAATGAATGTAAAATGTCAAATGGAATGTCTCTCAGCTAACTGGTAAATTAACAAAGAAGTTGCTGACCAAAAAGAAGTAGCACAATCGTACCCAGTCTTCCTTAAAAATAAAAAACGATGTATATGGACGAATGTACAAACTCACGAAGGTTACAAAATTTTTATGAAAATATTTAAAAATTGTGGTAAATGAATTTTTACTCCAAAAGAATTTCTAATTAAAATTATTGTAAATTTGATTATATAAAACAATATATTTTGTGATACTTGACGATTGCAGACAGTTTATGTCATATAATTGTAATTTTCTCAAAATTAGTCTAGCATTTACTAAATTTAATTCAACCTGAAATTAAATTTACGTTATTTGCATTTGTCTGAACTCTTAATAAAATAAGCCATTACCAAAATTAGGATAAATTCAGAAAAGTGCAAGTCGAGTTTATTCACCCGAAGTATTTTCTTATTAAAATAAAAGTAAGTGCCATGATGACAATAACACGTTGAGATATTTGTCTTGTGGATTATGTTCATTGTTATGTACTGTGAAAATCATATATTTTAGCTCACACTTTACTCAAATTAATATCGGTGATGTAGAAAAACAATATAAATATATAAGTAATACTATATTATAATTGCATAAAGTGTAGCCTCGCAACATTAAAGTGGTTCTCTCAAATAATTAACAATTTACATGTAACTGATGTCAGCATTATGAATACTATAAAATGTTTGCCAATAATCCTGTCGAGAATATTCTCAAAGTAACCATTTTTGAAACAACGAAAAGTTCATTTTAGCTCAAAACGTAATCGTATTCTTAATTGAATAAATTCGTAGATACTATTAATATATAAGGTTTCCAGTTCAGATTTTGGTTTGTATATAGTAAATTTTTATTAGGAAATGTTATCACAGCAAAACACGATTTTTTTAATGATAAATTTAAATGATTGAGTGACAAAATATCAATTCACATGTTTTTAATAATCACTCTTATGTCTAATTATATATAATTTTTGTTTTACTTTTTGTTCTATCATACCCATTTAATTTTTTGTATTGATTTTTAACATTGACCTTGAACATTTCAATATTACGGTTTCATTTGTAGCAACACGTGTATCATAATTGTATGATTATCTAATTGTTTAATCTAAAAGATTAGCATCATGATTTCCGTAAATATAAATTTTCCATGAAACTAGGAATTGATATGATTGAATAATGAGTGTCAACTGTTAATACATACGGTTGCGTAATATGCATCAGTGAAATAATTATAATATGTGAGTTAACTGAGATTTTGTTTAATTAAATTAAATTAATTAATTTGTTTGAGTTTTGCATTTATAAAATAAGCAGTATTCGTGAAACATATTTATTACATACATATAACAAGTTGTTGTTGCGCAATGCAAAACTAGGAGAAATTTATATGTTTTGTTGGTTAATCAGGCGCATAAAATGTATAAGTTTCATACTAGTGATCAAATTATAATGAAAATAAATAGTAATCTGCCGCAGAAGACAGGTTCGTGGCTATGGTGAGAGCACCACAAAGTCAATGATTTTCTTGACCTTCCTTGATTATTGTTTCCAGTACCTTCTATTTCAAATAATCACTTTTTCATACATTTTTATGCATTTTCATATTCTATTCCAAACTTGTGCTTCCATGCTTCCTGGTTCTGTGCTTTGGCTTTCAGTTTTCTCTATTTTCTTTCCTTGCGTAAGTTATCAACCATATGCATTCTTTGTCTTTCTAATCTTTTTAGTCTTTAAATTTTATCTTCTACAACGTGAAGTAGAAAGCACTTTTTGCAGAATAGGTCATATCCAGTTTCCTTTCGTTTTCTGGATCGTGCTCCGTAGAGTTCTTTTGTCTAAAAAATCTTTATTTGATATCATGTCTGGCCACTTTACCTTCTCCATTTGACCACATTTTAAAATTCTCCAGATAGTTTTTGTCGACCTTTCTCAAAAGTATACGTCTCTGATCCGTGCAGAGCTATGCTCCAGGCATAATACTTCATTAGTCTCTTCTGCAAGTCGTGAATTGGTTTGCTCGTCAGTAGTTTTCTATTATTTGTGAACATCGCCTTGGCGCTGGCGATCTTTGTCCTGATCTTTCTCGTGCAGCATCCGTCTCTGGTCAGGATGCTTCCTAAATACTTGATGTGATCAACATCTTCCAATTTTCAACTTCCTACCGTAATCTTCAGGGGCTCATCTCGTTTTGATATTCTCATCACTTGTATTAACTATGGCTTAAAATAAAACACCTCAAAATATTCATACATTTTGTTCAAAATGTATATATTTATTACAGAAAGATGGATCCGAGTTGCCGAGAGGTAGATATTCTCTTGATGGAGGTAACTTGACCATCGAAAATATTCAAAAGGAGGATCGGGGCATGTATCAATGCAGTGCCAGTAACGACGCAGCCACCGTGACCGCGGATACGGAACTCATGATAGAGACGCTGCCTCCACGGGCGCCGTACAATGTCACCGCAAACAGCACGTCGAACTCCATATTCGTCACTTGGGCCGAAGGTAAAACAAGAAATAAAGATTCTATAATAATAAATTTTTGTAAAACTCTATGACGGAAATCGGCATTAGCTAAATTTTACATTTGATTAGTTCGCAATATATTACTGTTGCAACAAACATAAAGTTTTGGCATATTTGAGGTGATCCACCAGAGTGGAGTATCCTAAATATATCTCATCGCCATCAAACCACGTCGAAAAGTTTGCTATTCTTTTAAATGATTTTTATATACTGCTGATCAATTATTTTTACATTATTTTGCTAGTTTTTTTTTTAAATATAAAAATGAAATAGAACATGGGGAATCTCCACTCTGTGTTTCCGTAAAACGTGAAACGACATCAGATCCAGAGCAGATTTTTTTCTGCCATTTAACGACACACGTAAAAACATGTTTTAGTGAAAAACTCGTCATATCTTAACACTGCCCAAATTTGTTGGATGGTCCACTCTAGTTACTGTAATTAAAATAATTTTTTTATACATATTACTAGCATTCAGCCTTATGACCAATAACTTACACATAAAACTGTAAAATTCAATTCATATGTGTTTCTAGAGCTTAAAGTATAGTTTCGATATTGGTTAATTAAAGTAGTCAGAAAATTTGGGAATGTTTCATGAAAAAAACGACGTTTCATTATTGCATAAAAATAAAATTACATATTTCATATTTTTATATGTTATTTTCAAAAGATAAAAATACTTATAATATGTCATATATGCAATTCATTTGCACTTCCCATGCATTATATAAAAAAATATATATAAATATATATTTATTAATTAATTATTAATATTATAATATATCTGACATTCGACATTTATATATGAAACATGGTATGATGATATAATACCACCTTCGGTATCATTATTGATCCTGACATTACAGTTTTTTGAAGTCATAATAACATATCTGACATTTTCCCGTTAGAAAAATAATTAGGTTTATACATTAAAACCGATCATTTTTCATAAAAAATGTAATGGCTCATAAAATATCATGTTATATGCTTGTAATAAATGTTACTCGTACTATACACATAATATGCACTGCACGTGCTAAAGGGCAATATAATAATAGGTAAATTCTTTAAGTAGTTTAACTAAAGTGGCATTGAATTTTTTTATTGTTTAAGTTTCAGATATTGAGTGGAAGTTAATTTTTATTGAAAGACCTGGCTAGTTTCTATCAACGCATTTTAATAAGTTATGCTTAGTATAATAACTAAATCAATTGTTAATAATGCTTCGACATATCAATTATTTGAGTTGAAATATCGCTATCGATACCAGTTAGTAATATTTTTTTTCGATATGATGAACATAATACGCTTTCCATAGGGTAAATTTGTCTTAAGACTCATTACGTCTAATGATTTCATCATATTCAAAATACCAATATTCAAAAGTTCCAAACATTTATCAGTTTTAGAACATCATATTTCTCAATTTCAAATTTATCAATTTTTTTATATTATTCAAAATATTCAAAATGTATAATTCAATTTTATTTGTATGTATTAAATCTTCTATATCATTTACGACAAGTTTTGATTAAGATCACATGTTATCATTTCCTCAGGATATAGAAGGCCCAGATTGGTATACAAAGTATGGTACCGAGCGGTCGACGTGAGTGAGTGGCGAACAATGAGGGTTTCCAATAGTTTGGACACCGAAGCCAACATAACGAACCTGATGCCCTCCCAGGAGTACGAGATCATGATCATGAGCGAGGACGCCAACGGCGACGGAATGTTCAGCAAAGCGATCAAAGTTTATACGAAACGTAAGTTTGCCAATATTGTTCCTCGAGAAATTAATTTGGAGTATTACCAACCAGATGTTGGAGAAAAAGTAATGATAGGGCTGGAGTTTATCCTTTGTGATGTTGTAATTGTAGCCATTTTTTGGTCACATTTACCAGTACTTGTTTATTTCCGGAATAGACAAACAAAAATTTCATTCAAATAAACTTTCAAATGAGACGCAATATATTTAAATGTATACATCTATAAATTCTTGTTATGTATCAAAAAAGGGCTTACTCGGAGGTAAGTGGCTGGCGACTGAACCTCAATTGGAGGTCCAGGGTTCGAACCCACTTCGAACTGCCTGATGTCAAGCAGTTTTTACAACGGTTTTCACTTGGAAATGTAACTTGCAATATGTTTCCAAGTGTAAATAGCCCTTGCCCGACATTGCTGCAACAATGATAAGTTAGCCCTATTAGATAAACTCTAATAATAAAATCATCAAATACGGATGGATTGATCATTGGGTTCCCATCTAAAAACACGAAGTAAAAAGTTTCAGCCCAACTGCTCATAGGACTAAAAATTCTGATTGCTGTTAAGATATAAGAAAATAAAATCATTATTGGATAAGAATATAATGGACAGTGGCTTGCAGCTAAAAATGAACCACTCAGAAAAAAATCATAAAAAGTTCGTAAATCATATGCATATCTGCATCGATAAATATTCGCCCCATAACATAAATTTTAATAAGAATTCATCACACTATTGTTTTGAGTATTGGAACCGACTTATATTAAGCATAGTATTGAGTATTAAGTATAGGACTTTTTAGTTCTGATTGATGTTAAAAAAAAGTAGTAAGAACATTTTTCGTGACGATTTTAATTTTTATTCAAACTTTGAGCACATATTTTTATCACGCTATTGTAAATTTTACCAAAACTTGAGTTTCGCATATTTTCCTGTTTTTGCTACGTCTTAAAAAAATATTTAAGGTTTTATTCAATAGTATCTGCAGTGCGTCATAATACATATAACGTAATTTCATATTATTAATATTATCATTCATTCAATGCATTTTACATGCCGTAATGAATCAATTTTGAGAAAATAGCTTATTTAATTGTAAAAATATGATAGCGTATATAAATAATTTACTGTGAATCATGCTGGAGTATAAAATATTTCGAGTTGACGTGATAAAATAAAATCTTTGTCCATTCAAATTGGTTTTAAAACATACCGCTATAAAAATGCGGTTTATTTTATTATTGTTATCAATTCAAAGGCTATTCTTGATTTATACATGTATCAATAATAATAAAATTTAATTGTTCGTTTTACACAATAGCTACAATTGAAAACGGATATCAATTTGAGGCAAATTAAGAAAAAAACTTTATGAAAAAATTATCAATTGATTTTTTTCATACAATGTGCACAGACCAATTCATGAAAAATCATGAATAAGGAAGAGACATACCTCGAGTAATTAATCATATACATGAATTTATTAGAAAAAATTATTTAAGAGAAGAATATAAGCTTAGTTCATAGTTCTTTTATCGTCAACGATCATACCATGTTGAATACACCGGTTCTCGTCCGATCACCGAAGTTAAGCAACATCGGGCGTGGGTAGTACTTAGATGGGAGACCGCTTGGGAACACCACGTATCGTTGACTTTTTTCATTTTTAAAGTTATGCAAATATCCATTTTTTTTTAAATAATATTTAAGTGATAACACTTCTAATGTAACTTGATTTTTCCCTACCTTCAAAATTGTGCAATCATCACATTTTATTCTATTGTATCTTTTATTCCTTTTAGCATCTCAATTATATACAGGACCATCAGAGTTTCGGGCACCTTTGGACGCCTTTCTCCAAATCAGTGCACCGACATTTGTACAAGTGGTGCCTGTTAAAGATGGTCATTTAGTGACATGGAGAGCACCAGAACATGGAGCTGAATCTTTGAGAAGATATATTGTCCGCTGGACCCGCAGCGAATACGAATTTAAATGCGGCTCTGCCGAGACTCAAGATACACAATATCTAGGTGAGAATTACAACGCCTAATTAAATGTGTAATTTTACCTTGGGCAGCCGAATTTGAAAATAGTTATATCTTAACTTGAAATTTAATGCAAATATTATTCCTATATATTTTTTTATTTTGCCATATCATATTATTGAAATTTTTGAATTGAATTGAATGTTGAATATGAAATTTTTGAATTAAAAGTTTTACAACCTAGTTCAGATTAGTTTTATTTTCTAGTAATGATTTTTATTTCAGTGACCGATCTCGAAGAAGATGAATTATACACCTTCCAAGTGTTGGCAATGTCCACGACAGACTACCAAGCAGCCAGTCATAAAGTGGAAGTTCGTGTACCTCCTTACACCAGAATAAGAGCAGTTACAATAGGCGTTGCTGCTGCCCTTCTGGTATGTGCAGTGTCCATAGCCGTTCTAATATACGCCCGAAGGAAATGCATCAGGCCAGATGATCCTTCTGAAGAGGAGAAGCAACCAGAAACCAAAGCTTAATATAAATAATAAAGTTAAGTTATAATTTTAATTATTTTTGGGTTAGAGCAAGCATGCAATTATGGATTTACTGGTCTGCCATGTCTTGGATCAAACTCTTATATGGAATACTCTTATTTTATTTTTGTTTGTTTTTATTTTTACTTGATTTTTATTGATTTTATTGTGATGTTTTGTGTAACTGGTAAAATAAATAAGGATGCTCAAATCGTACTATGTATTATATCCAGAGGCCGGAATATAATTATTGTAGAAAAATGTTAGTTGTTATGAACAATTTTGACATGGGTCTCGGATGGCATCATAAAGTTTTGATTACGGCTTGCTTATGAATGGATATTGATTTTCAACTTGGATGAACTTTATCTAATACATTTCTATGTTGTTTTTGCTAAAAATAACTCTTTTAGAGTTAACTGCTTAAACGATTTATGGAGGATTTAAGCAAAAGCCCTTGATATATTGTTACATTCGCCCTTAATTTAGCGAGATTGCATGGACCTGACCGCACATTGATTTATCGACGGTTTTACTTCATTTTTTATGTAGCTTTGTGTAATTTAAGTATAATATAAGTAGTATCTCACAGTTGAGAATAGATTAAATATTATTTTTGATATACCATTATATGATGTCCAGCAGTCCCCTTAAAAAACAAAATACTCGTACATGATATCAAAATACGAAAAGATCTGATACAATCTGCAAGATATATCATTTGTATGAATCAACAGCTTCCTTCTTTTTGATGTTTGTTCTTTTAGAAGATATTGTACTTTCAAAACTTCAAACAAATTGGGTTTTCTTAACAAGTATTATCAATATTATTCATTAAATTTTTATTCGAGCGTAACTCTATGCAATTGTTCTTCAATAGATAGATGCTCTAGTTTTCAAAATAGCTTACAGGTATTATATTTGAATATTTTATATAGGTAGGCATTATATTATCGAGTACGATTTGAGCAATCCTACTTACTCAAATATATTATTGGATGCATGATGTTCACAAATTAGGATCTATCCAAGGCTTTCTTTATATCCCTTCCACTTTTTAACAATATATCTTTGTGATATTTTTGATGGTTTATTTAGAAGACATTTTTTGCAAAATTAACATTTTTGATCTGAAATTCCGCATATTGTATTATTATACTATATGAGTGAGTCGATAAAACTTGTTTTAAAAGTAAATTTATTGTGCTCTCAATAAATATATTAATCGTCTTAAATGCGAAATATTATTTTTCTATATTGATTCTCATTATCATTATAACACTTTTATAAATTAAAATTAAGTAGAATTAATATTAATATTAATATTTTATGTTGTCCGTAGTTATATAAAAATTTTAACCCACAATCAAATCATTGACGGAGCAAAATAAATTTTAGCAAAAACATTGACTTGTTTTATATATTGAAATAGATTTTTGCACGTGTTTATACGATTATTTTATTATAGTTAATCTAAATCGTTCGAATTAGAATTATTAGTCATGCTTCACTTATATAATTTTTTAACGGTATGTGTGAGAACGTTTCTAAAGATTGTATAATTTTAAAATGTGTCAAGGATATTTTAAGTTGTAAGTTATTTTGAATTTTAGTTTTACTTATTATATTTACTAAAATAATATATTTTTTGATATACGTAAATGCCTTATATAATTGATAAAACATTAAGTATTGTATAATGTAATAATATATTATATAATATACGTTACATAAGAAACGTATTGATATTTGTTTCATATTATATACTATTATCATATTTAAATTGATCACGGAAAAAATGCAATTCATATGTGATAAGAATGAGTAATTCCAAATCAATTAATAATTCTAATGAAGCTAATTGCGACCATCAAGTCACAAGACAAATATCAATTTGCTTTACAATAATTATTAAATTAAAAAGAATTTCCTGAATAATTAAAATGTTTGTGTTACTTAAACTCTTGATCTAGTAATAATTCTTTTGGAATTTCAGTTAATATTTGATGCATTATAAAATGAAGTTTTTTTTTACTATCCATAACTACATGTTGATATGATACATAAATTATAATGAATATTAACATCACAATAGACAATTGCGTTGATTTCTTTTTATTTTTTTAGTTAATTACATAAATAAAATAATTTGTTTTTCTTTCAGTTTATTTTCATATACTTGCAATAATATTTACATCTCTTTAATAAGGCTATTAAAATCCAGTAAATAATTATTTTAATACGTTTACTTGTTCATAGTTGTAATAAAGACGCTTTTTATTAATAATTACGTTTTGACCTATATATAAATACAAGTATATGTAAGTATAAAGCATACATTGAAAAAATTAGCAAAATCTTTATTTTAAATACGTTTTTACATATAATTTTTTGCCATCATCAGTGAATTTGAAGAAATAGGAAAATAAGCATATTGATGAAATACTAATACTAATAATCATAAAGATGGTCTTACTTGTTTAGTATTAATATTTTTTAATATATGTTTTGATTGAACACAACATTCGTACTAAATAATGAAGATAAAATATATATTTTACCAATTTCTGGGTCTCCATTCTACAGTAAAATAATCCGTAGTTATAGCAATGTTACGCCATTTGCTTCATACAAAATGATACTAAAAACTGTCTAAAAACACATAAACCCTACTCATGTATGTGTTATCAATAACAGATCAGAAAGATGCAATTATCATAACATTTTTTATGTTTGTCCGTTTTTAGGTCAGGGTTTATATCTAAAACGCCTGACTGCAAGCGTTGTACGCATAAAACCTAACTTCACACATATGTTATCAATGACATGTCAGAAAAATGCAGTTATTATAACATTGTTTTTTTATATTTTTCCCTCTTTTAGGTTAGGTATTAAATCTGAAATGCCTGACTCCACAGTAAATACATATCATTTTGACAGTTTTTACTACCAACTTATATGAAGATTGAACCGTAACAATGCGTTGGACAACTGGTTCCATAATTTTTTTGGCTCGAAGAATTTACGCCTTGATATAACAGCTGCATAATCAGGTTACAATTAATGATTAAATGTTTTGCCGGAAAGAAAAATTACGTTCTTAAGTAAATTCAGTATTTATTCAATTATTTTGTAAAAATATCACCTTTACTGGATTTTATTGGCAATAATTCAGTAGCAATTGGCAAGCCGTAGAAACGTAACTGCGTCGTCATTGAATTTCTAACTAGAATAATATGGACTTTCACTATATATGCAATTTGCACGCCGTCATGAACATGAAATGATTCATAGCACATTTATGCTGAAATTGAATTAAATTAAATTGGTTATCTTGGAAATTGGAACTCGGATGAATAGCAATCGTGACGCATATGTTTTTAAATTATTATATTTGATACTTTTGCACGAGTTAGGAGTAATTTTTGAATCAAAAGGGAATAAAATCCAATTTTCAAAATGAAATTATTTAAAGCAATTAAATTTTTTGAGTTTTAAAATATTTAAACGATTTTTTCGCATACTATTTTGAAGGTTTCAAATCTTAGACATAAGCCTTTCAGGAATAATATTTTCAATTATTTATTTTTATGCGCTCTGTTTCTAAAGCGGCATCCGTATCTGGATTCAAAAATATTTTTAATTACAAAGCGCAATTTCAGTGATTAGATAAAAAATTGAAAACAAATCAAAAACGGAAGTTATATCATTTGATATGAATATTTCTCACGAGTGTCCTTTGCAGGTCGGAAAACATTGACAGGACATGAATAAGCATTTTGCGAACACTAGTGATTAATTCTGTAGGACAATTAAGTCCAATTGCATGATTTGTGGGCACGATCTACAGCAGAGGTGGTCAAGACATATGTGTATATATATATATATATATATATATATATATATACATACTATCGTACCCGGCCACGCTTTGCAGCGGATTTTATTGAAATCCACCGGTTTTAATCTTAGAATCAACATTTCAATACTATTGAGAATAATGTTTTTTTTAACTTACATTAATCAAAAAATAAATGAAATTATTAAATTTAAGTTTTGAAAAAGCACAATAACTAATAACCAAGTGGCATTTATAAATGTGTTATACCCTCTTTGGTGTCATGCCCTATTTTAATGAAAATAAGTATTTGGATGGAATAGGAAAGCTTTCTTGATTCTATTATACAAATGCATGTTTAACTCAATTTCTCAGTTAATATGCTATAACTTCAGTTTTTTTTCAGTTTCTTAAAACAGTTGAAACCTAAAACTTCAAGGGTGCATATTAATAAATTTTGTATCAAGACATCATAAAGACTTTTCTATGTTTCAGCTAAAAATATTCTTTATGAATGGTACTATATTGCATGAGATTTCTGGCTTAAGTTCTCTATTTTTTTCGAATATATTTATTAAGGTTAATTGGTTTAATATATTTTGTGAAATTTGAATAATAATAATTGCAATCAGTTAATATATAAAAAAATTCGTATAATATAAGTCGTCTTATAATCGCCGTATAGAAAATTCCATATTAATATTCCGTATCAAAAATCCGCAATAGGAAAATGTAAATGCAATTATATGAATCATTAATAAATCTTTTGAACTTAATAATCTATTGGAAAATATGTTTACGTAATTACAAACAGAACTAAATATAAATATTATAATTTATTCATATCTAATAGATAAACATATATAATTAAATGTTGTTCAATTAGTTTTACGTAGATTTTATAGATAATAATTAATTTTTTTATACTGCCCAGGGCTTTGAACCATCAAATCTGTTAAATGTAAGTTAATAAAGTTTGGTCCATAATTTTTTAATAGCTTTCCCATCTGATTACGATCAGTATCAGTAGTAAATGATGTTCGGTTTGAAAATAATAAATAAATCGAATAATTCTTATAAATACTGGAAAACATTTTTTTTTTGGAATATTCTAAGTTTGTGTTCAACATTTTCGAAATTTAAAAACATTGATCAAAAATTTTCACTTTTATTCCAAAAATCCTATATTTATCTAATATTCGTTTATAATTCTACAAGTTGTTGCAATTTGTTTCAAGGCACTGCTATATCATCACTGCCTTAAAACACTGATAGAGCAGCAATATTGTAGATTCAGTTTTTTGTTGATTTTTTATACAATAAATTTTACAGATATTTTGAGAACAAAAGAAAAATTTTAGGATTTAAGAATACAAAATTTTCTGACCATTGTCAAAAATCGACCCAATGATTACTAAGAAATCAACTCGTTGACCATCCTTGATCTAGAGTACAAAGTTGACGATTTGCGTGCATTTGAATCATTAGTCACAAGTCAGATGACTAGTTCTTCAATTTGCTAACATGTTACAATTATAGAAGCAATGATAATCAATTTTTGATCATTTAAAAAACTTGATAAACTATCAACTGGGATAATTACGCTTTTAAAAATGATTTGTCAGGTTTAATATAGTTAATCGTGATTAATTACTCATAGCAGAATATTTTAAAATATTTTTTTGCATGATTACACAGTATTTTGCATAATCTTCTTTATTATTAAAAAAAAGTGCGAAACTTGTGAATAACGTTTTAGCCAAAAAATCTGAAGCGATTTTGAGAATTTAAACAGTTTTGAAGATATCATTTGGCAATGATGCTAGTTAGTTTTTGGTAAAGTTTGGTCAGGCCGTTTCTTTGTAATTAAATGTTAAATTATTTTTACATTTTCAACCAAATTTAAATGGCGATAAGGGTCATAATCTAATATAACTTTCAAAAATTGGAAATTCATATGCTCTTGTGACGGTTATTGTTTTTTGAAGATCAATTTTTACTAATGGCTTATGGAGGGCAACCCATTAATTGTCCTTATCTAATTACGATGGTATTTTAATATTTTTCACCATTTCCCGACTTTATCTATACTTTATCTATAATCAACATTTTCAAGTTCAATATGGATACTACCAGTTAAATTGGTAAGGGGTTGCACGCAACGCAGGATTTGAAATCGGAACCTTGGGTTAAAATGCCAGAGCTCTTGCATCTTGTACTCCTCTATATATTGCTTTTAAGTCTTTTATAAAACCATTTTTTATACTTCAATGGTATAAATTCTCAAGCTTCTGTCACCTATTATCTTGAAACCGTCTCTTCCATAAAAGCGGCGTATAAAAGCTTCCAATTACCGCATGCTTTATATTTCAAACAGGCACTTTACTTGATCATTCTTATGTAAAATAATCTTCTTAAATTTTCTTTAGATACCTTTATAAACCGATGCTTTTAAAATCTTTATTCGTAATGTTATTAGTATAATTCCTTCTGACCTTGCGGAGCTTTTTATACAAAGTTGAATTTCTTGCAAGCATTGCGTAGAATACTTGGATCAAGATTTTTCTTATATTAAAATCACAGAATGTATTTACTTGTATTAGCTATTCATGAATTGCAAATTATTAAATCAATTATTCAATCTAAACTTTTTCATTTAACATATTTTATAAAATATAAAATAAGTGATGTAATACATCATGTACATGCTTAAATAAAACATACATAATTTAGTCCGATAATATTTAAATTAAAAATATATTCACTTGCGGATGAATAGCTTAAAAAATTGTTTTTCACATATGTTTAGAATCTCAGATGATTTATCAAGTATTGAGTGCAAATGACATCTAGTAAGTCGCAATTCAGTAAACGTAAATTTAATTTGATAATGGCAAGTACTTTTGTATCAGTACTTCTGAACGAGAATATATGTCTGATTATTTAATTATAGAAGAAAAAATATATGGTCTTAATTGTTATCTGATTATTTTAGTGTTGCGACACGGTGATGCAAAATGCATAATAATGAACTCTTTATATTAAAATTTGGAGAGATCTTGAGCAATTTTTATAATGATTTTAATTATTTATTGATACCATTTATGTTCCCTTTTATCATTGATAATATTAATGTGCTTTGACTCTGCGAAAGCTTGCCAATTTCTTTTTAATATTTTTGAAATGTAGTAATGATCAAATATCTGCACGATATTCTTTAAAATGCGTTAGTTTTTTATAAACAAATTTATTAAATACGACTCTAGTTGAGTAATATCTTTCTAAACTCATTTACGTTACATATTTATAGACAAAATGCAACCGATACTGATACATTTATCATTGAATTCATAATTTAATTATTGAAAATATTAATTATGCATGCATAGTGGATAATAATAATTATGCATTTTATACCTAATTGATCCAATGTTTCCTCATTGTTTCTTCTTTTAATATTCTGAAATCGAAATATCAATAGTTTATATTTTATACGTGTAATTCAAGGGAAATCAATATCAAATGTAAAATACAGAAATAATTTACAATGCCATATCAAAGTTTCATTTATTTATTTTATTTTCAATATTATTTATTTTATTTCCAAACTATGCAGCGCGCTCCCTAGGTAGGGCTCAATGCTGTTTTTTAGTATTTATGGTATTAGAGTATTTATGATATTAGATTGTTTGAAAAGTTTGAGTGCAACTTTTTTTTTAATTTGAAACCACTGATTTGGAAGAAAAATGTAAATAAATACCGAACAACGTACCTTGAAATTACTAGGGTTACTCAAAAGTAAGCATTTTCGCTGTTGATAAAATAAATAAAATTGCAGCAAAATGTGTAGTTAAATTAAGTAAAATTAGAATAAATTGCAAATGAAGAAATAAAAACACTAAGTAGAGAATTATTGTTATTATCGTCTTATAAAATGTAATAGTTTTTAGCTCTTGAATTAGATTTATTATTCGATTTAATACAAGCGATTCAAATTTAACAAAATGCATTTTAAATCCTATATGCATCACTAATTAATTAAATGTTTACAATTGCGCTATCTTGCATAATCTCTTCAGAGATAACAAAAGCCTATATAGGTAGATTGAAATAGGGATATGGTTTATACAGTATTATTTTCGAACATATGATAACAAAACATAACAAAACAAACAACATAAACTAATTACAAAATAAAAAATTAAATTAAAATGAATAGTACAGAAAAATGAGCCCTGACCATAAGCAAAGACCGAATCACTTGAGGTGAGTTAAGTGGTAGATTGAAACAATAAAAATATTATATCTCATTTAATTTTCTTATTGATAGTTTTACCTCTGAACCTGTAAATGTCCATAACAATAGTCCTACTCATAGCCCAAAATCAGCAACTTTATCGAATTTACCGAGACGACCGCCAGTAGATGTGGAATTTATAGATATTTCATATTCAGTACCACATGGAAGACATTGTGCACATAAAACAATATTACAAAATGTGAGTGGAACCTTCCACTCTGGAAAATTGACTGCCATTATGGGCCCTTCAGGAGCAGGAAAAAGTACACTTATGAATGTCTTGGCTGGTTATAAGTAAGTTTTTAAATATGCAATATATCGCTGAAATGTTCAGTAATTTTTTACAATACTCTGACTTTAAATTTCAGGACATCACATATGATTGGCTCTGTTCTTATCAATGGCAAGGAAAGAAATCTAAGAAGTTTCCGAAAACTATCTTGTTACATAATGCAAGATGATGATCTACTACCATATATAACTGTACGTGAAGCTATGCTGATATCAGCAAATTTAAAACTAGACAAAGATATATCTTATTCTGCAAAACGCTTAATTGTTGACGAAATCATCGAGACGTTAGGATTAGTAGAATGTAAAAATACAAAAACCTTACATCTATCAGGCGGACAAAGAAAAAGACTATCTATTGCACTAGAGTTAGTGAACAATCCACCTGTCATGTTCTTTGATGAGCCTACCTCAGGATTAGATTCATCGACTTGTTTCCAATTGATTTGTTTATTGAAATCTTTAGCTCGGGGTGGCAGGACAATAATTTGCACTATACATCAACCTTCTGCGAGACTATTTGAAA